AGAGAGAGAGAGAGAGAGAGAGAGAGAGAGAGAGAGAGAGAGAGAGAGGGCGCCCTTTCCTCCAGCTTTCTGGTTGTGTGGTAGAAGCCTGGCTACTGAGAGGGCTGTGCTGGAGTTCAGTTGCAGAGTGTTTGCTTAGTAGTCAGGACGTCCTGGGTCCCATCTCTACCACCAAAAAGGCAGAAACCAGGCACGTCTGGAAATCTAGCACTTTGGAGACAGAGACAAGAGGACCAGGAATTCAAGGCTGGAAATCAGCCTGGGCTACATGAGAAACTGTCTCAAAACAAACAGGAATGCCAAACAGCCCAGTTTCCAAGAGACAGGGCTCACCTCACATCTTTCCTTTCAGCCCAATCTCTAACATTCTGTTTTCTTTTGCAAAAGGCAACTGGCAAGACTGAAGAGATGCTCAGTGGGTCAAGAGTTTGCCGTGCAAACGTAAGAACTGGAATTTGGATCCTCAGCACCCACTCAAATACCAGTTGGGTGTGGTGGCCTATATGTAATCCCAGCTCCCAGAAGATGGAGATGGAGTCCCCAGAACAAGCTAGGCATCTACTCTAGCAGAATCATCCAGCCCTGGGTTGAAGTCAGAAACCCTGCCTCAGTGGCATGTGTGCATGCACTGGGTACCTGTGTGTTGAAGTCAGAAACCCTGCCTCAGTGGCATGTGTGCATGCATTGCGTGCTTGTGTGTTGAAAAGAGATCAAGAAAGACTCCTGATGTCAGCCTTTCACCACCATATACACATGTACACATGGACACACAACTGCACATGTGTGTACCCACACTCAAGCAAACTCTCACTCACACACACACACACACACACACATACACGCATTCCCAGCGCCTTTCTAATTACACATTCTGATTCATACACACACACTCACACAAACATAAAAGTTCACAGGAAAGGGCTCCCCATTCTGGAAACCAACTCAGGGAAAGGAAGCAGTAAGACTCTTAAGAGTCACATCAGCTCAGTTCCTTCTGGGAAGCCCTGGGAACTCTGGAACAGCAATTCTGACAAAGGCAGAGAGGGCACACGCTATGGTTTACTGAACACTCTCCATGTATGAGCCATTTCTGAGGGCATTTTGCTTTCCTATTTACTTTATCTTATATGAATGTGTATATATGTATATATATATGTATGATGTATGTGTCATGACACATGGGTAGAGGTCAGAGGACAACCCCCACCACCTTGTCTGAGGCAGATCAGTGTTCCTATGTGTCAGGTTTGCTCCGAGCTTCTGGGGCTTCACCTGCCTCCACCCTTACCTCCCTGCAGGAGTTAAAGATGTGCAGGCCTGCACATCACACCTGGATGCCTGCACGGGCTCTGGGGATTTGAACACAAGTCCTTACGCTTGCATAGCAGGCCTTTCACCCACCGAATCATCTTTCCAAGCCTGTTTTTACTCATTTTAAGATATGGTTTCCAGGGCCACATGGAGAAACCCTGTCTTGAAAACCAAAAACCAAAACAAACAAACAAACAAAAAGGCATTTTTAAAATATGTAGTCCTGGGCCGGGCGGTGGTGGCGCACACCTTTAATCCCAGCACTCGGGAGGCAGAGGCAGGCGGATCTTTGTGAGTTCAAGGCCAACATGATCTACAAGAGCTAGTTCCAGGACAGGCTCCAAAGCCACAGAGAAACCCTGTCTTGAAAAACAAACAAACAAATAAATAAGTAAATAATAAATTATGTAGCCCTGACTGTCCTGGAACTCATTATGCAGACCAAGCTGGCCTCGAACTCATAGCGATCTGCCTGCCTCTGACTCTCAAGTGCTAGGATGAAAGACATGCGCCACCGCACTTGACTTCAGCCTGTCTTTTATTGGTTTTCAGACAGGGTCTCATGTGGCCCTTGTTGCCATCTAACTTGCTGCCATAACTGAGAATAACCTTGAACTTCTGGTGCTCCCCTGTCTACCTCTCCAGTCTTGGTATACCAGGCGTGTGTCACCAGGGTCTCACTGGCAGTCAGCTGGACCTGAGCCCATTCCAGTCTGCTGCGCCTCTCCACTGGGCTCCCCTGGACTCCAGAACCACGGCCACAGGCTGTATTCTAAGTGCAACGCTGGGCTTCAGTCATCTCACTCTCCCAGTGAGCCTCAGAGGACTGCTCACCTGCTTCCACTTTACAGATGCTGAAAAGTTCAAGCACACAGCACAATGTGGCGCACATCTGTGGTCCCAATACTAGAAGGCAGAGTTAGGAAAACCAGGAGCTCAAGGCCAGCCAAACATAACAAGCTTGGGGTCAGAATGGGTTACATGAAACCCTATCACAAGGGGGAAAAAAAAGGAAGGAAAGAGGGGAAAGGAAAGAGAAAAGGGAAGGGAAGGAAAGGGGAAGGAATGAAGGCCTGGAGGAGCTTTAACCACTGTGTGTGTGTGTGTGTGTGTGAGAGAGAGAGAGAGAGAGACAGACAGACAGACAGACACATGTGCCTGGGAACACACATGTGCAGGTCAGATCACCATCTCAGGTGTCTTCCTCTACAGAGTTTCTTTCTAAACTCCAAGTGTGCATTTTCAACTGAGCTGGTATGCTAGTCAACAAGATCTCACTATCTGCCTGTCTCTCCCACCCAACTTGGTGTGACTGGTTCCTTTTTCTACCTTTATATGTGTTCCAGGGGTTGAACTCGGGTAGTCAGGCACACATGGCCAGTTCTTTACACACTGAGCCATCTTGCCAGCGCAGTATTTTCAGCTTATGATCTTTTCAGTTACAGTGGGCTCCTTAGAACATACCTTCATTCTGAACAGAGGCAGCAAAACCCACCACATTCTGAGGACCGTAACACCATATTCTCAGAACAATCTGACCAGAGGGGGTGGCTGTTTTAGAGATCTGGTCACTCAGGGAGAGGAAGGTATCCAGGAGTCTCAGTCCAGGCACTGTTCTCCACACTCCTCGCTCCCTGCATGGCTTCTCCAACGCCCTATACTCAGGGCACAATAGCTTTCACCATCTTCACCAGAGCAGCTGGAGCTATTTGCAAACAACCTTCAAGATCCTGTTGAAGACTGTTGGTCTTCCCTCCTATAAGGACAGGGTGGGAGGGTCCCTGGACCTCTCGCTGCTAACTATATCCCATCAGTTTCACAGTTACACGTGATCTTGTGGTCTAAGAGGTGTTAGACAATACAGTGCAGAAGAGGATCATGAAAGGGGACTCTATCTATGGTGCTATGGGGAAGTCATCATCCACTCTGGGCAAGACTTTCTGTTGATGCAGCTATTCTGGGGTACCCGTGTTCCTCTATGTAACCACCCACTCAGCTCTCTAAGTAGCCCCAGTAAACTCACTGGTTCTCACAGCTAGACTTTGGTGGATTGAACTTTTACTTTGACATTGGTGCCCTGTCTCGGGACGAGGGAGGAAGCTAGCATTTGTTTAAAAGTTCATGAAACAACCTTCAACATTTGATCTTCAGATTTTCTACAGTCATCTGGAATTTTAGTGCTTTGCTCATACCAAGCAAGCATTTGACCACTGAGACAAATCCCCAGCCCCAGTGTGTTCATTTACTAGTAATTGTTAGGAAAGACACTGCTGTGCAGACCAGGACGGCCTCAGCAGTCAGTACTAGGATTTACAACATGCTTATGGAAGGTATGTGGATGGTTGCCGGTGAGCATGTGTGCGTGTGCACATGCCTGTGGAGTCCTTGGCTGCCTCTCTTCAGGAGCCACCCACCGTGTTATCAGACAGGGTCTCCCGCTGGCCTAGGGATGCCTACCTTGTTTTTTAAATTGCATTTTATCTATTTATTGTGTGTGTGTGAGTGGACAGGTGGGGATGTGTGTGCCATGCACACATCTGGAGGTCAGAGGATGACTTTCAGGACTTGATTGTCTCCTTCCATCATGGGCACCACAGGGATCTAATGCAGGCTTTCACCCACTGAGCCATCTAGCTGGCTGCCATCTTAGTTTTTAAGCCAAGGTCTCTCAGTGGCTAGACTAGTTGGCCAGCACGTCCCATTGACCCACCTCTCTCTGTGTCTCCACACTCACGCTTTGTATGAGCATGTGTGTGTGTATGTGTTCCTGTTGTGGAATATTTAACTATGTAAAAATGTGTTTCATTTGTTTATGCTGCGGAATATTATTTTAACTGTGTGCTACATTTGTTTTGCTGCATTTGTTTATGTAAAGATGTGCCGCATCTGTTTCACCTTGCTTGGCTAAGGCAACTGATTGATCTAATAAAAAGCTGACTGGCCAATCGCTAGGCAGGAGAGGGACAGGCAGAGCTGCTGCACAGAGAGGATAAATAGAAGAAATCTAGGCAAAGGAGAGGAGAAGGAGGAGGAGAAAATGAGGGGGAAAAGGAGGGACACACCTGGGTCCAGAAGACAGGCAGCGACCAGACAGCCAGACACAAGGGAAAGCAGGATACACACAGGACAGAAAGGTAACAAGCCCCAATGTAAAACAGAGATGAACAGAAACAGGCTGAGTCATAAAAGCTAGTAGGATAAGCATAAGATAAGGTTGAGCATTCATAACTGATAAGAAGTTTCCATGGCAGGGGCTGGAGAGATGGCTCAGAGGTTAAGAGCATTGCCTGCTCTTCCGAAGGTCCTGAGTTCAATTCCCAGCAACCACATGATGGCTCACAACCATCTGTAATGAAGTCTGGTGCCCTCTTCTGGCTTTCAGGCATACATGCAGACTGAATATTGTATACATATTAAATAAATATTAAAAAAAAAAAAGAAGTTTCCATGGCATGATTTGGAAGCTGGTTGGTGGCCCCAAAGAAAAACCCTGTTCCTGCTGGGCGGTGGTGGCACACGCCTTTAATCCCAGCAGTCGGGAGGCAGAGACAGGCACAGGCAGATCTTTGTGAGTTCAAGACCAGCCTGATCTACAAGAGCTAGTTCCAGGACAGCCACAGAGAAACCCTGTCTCGAAAAAACCAAAAAAAAAAAAAAAAACAACCCTGCTCCTGTGTGTGTGTGTGTGTGTGTGTGTGTGTGTGTGTGTGAAGGCCAGAGGTCAACATCAGGGGATGGCCACCTTGTCTTTTAAAGTATCATCTCGAGCTGGCCTAGCACTCACCAGTTAAGGTAGGCTGGCTGAGAGAGCTCCGGTCTGGGATTACAATACAGGCTACCATGCCCAGCTTTTAACATCCACTCCAGGGATGACCCTCAGGTCCTCAAGCTTACATAGCAAACATTTGATCAACTGGCCCATCTCCCTCGCCCCATTTACAGACATGTTCCGCCACACCCAACTATTTAGTCTCTTTTTAAAAATACATATTTCTTTTTATTATTTGTTTGTCTCTGTGAGGAGGGAGTTCCCAAGGAAGCCAGAAGAGAGTATAGGATTCCCCTGGAGCTGGAGTTTCAGATAGCTCTGAACTGTCCATTGTTGGTGCGGGAACTGAACTCTGGTCCTCTGCAAGAGCAGCAAGTGGTCTTTAACCACTGAGCCATCTCTCCAACTCCATCTCTCCGTCTCAGTATTTGGCTTCTTTTCTCTGGCATGTCCATCCCTTTGGCTCTCTCAGTGACAGGACCCCTGACCTCAGACGAGGAGACAATCACTCACCCCAGAGAGAAATGAACAGAAGTCAGGGTACTAATGATCAATACTCACCTCGGTGTGTCCAAAGCCCGGATGACAGTTGAAAGCAGCCGGCCATCCCTTGAGGTCACCTGTGCCACATACTGGGGTGGTCCAAGGCCTGTGGCCTCCACAACCTTGGAGAAGGCAGGGCTGCCAGAGCAGTCGCATAGGGAGCCAGGGAGGTGGCAGCAGTCACCTGTCGTCATGGCCACAAGGCGCCTCCTGTCCTCAGGGCCTGAGGCCCATGGTCCCAAGAGCCTGGAGGGAGGCCAGCAGAGAGATCAAAGGCAAAATTAGTGAGTCGCAATAACTGTTGGGTTCCCTCTTCTTTTCTGAGGTATGTATGCTTGTGTGTGTGAGAGCAAGTGAGTGTGCACCAAGGGACATGAGTAGAGGTCAGAGGTCTGAGAACACCTTGTTTGAAAGAGTCTCCTGTTTTCTGCTGTACACACTAGGCCAGCTGACCCCCTGCTTCCAGAGACTCTCCTGTCCTGTACGAGGACTGGGATTACATGGAAGGCTCATGGCGCCCGTCTTTACGTGGGCTCTGAGGGTGTAAAGTCCTTCTATTTGTGCAGCCAGTCATGCTAGCCTGGAACTTAAGGTCTAAGCCTTCTGAGTGCTAGATTTTAGACTATGCCTGGCTCGAGCCCCATCTTGTTGTGATGGTTATTTGTTGTCAAACTGACACAATCAAGAATCACCTGGAAAGGGGCTCTCATGAGGAGTTGTCTAGACCAGGTTGGGATGTGGTATTGGGAAGGGGCTCTCATGAGGAGTTGTCTAGACTAGATTGTTACTATATTTACAATACTGTAATAATATATAAATATATTTACAATTAAATTTATATATTATTATAATATTGTAAATATAGTAACTGTAATTCTAGCTTAATACTTGTTTTGTTATATGAATTTTACTATGTTAAAGTTAAAACCTTCCTTTCTATTTGAATATAAAAGGTGAAATGATGTGGGAAGTCCTTCTGTATATGTGTTGCTTTTACTGCCTAATAAAGAAGCTGCTTTCAGCCAATGGCTTAACAGAATATAGCCAGGCTAAAAGAAATATAGAGAGAGAGTAGGTGGAGTCAGAAAGAAGCCACGGAGCCACCACAGGAAACAGATGTACTGAAGCTCTGCCAGCAGCCATGACCTTGTGGTGATGCACAGATTAATGGAGATAGGTTAGTTTAGGATATCAGAGCTAGTTAGAAATACACTTAAGTGATTGCCCAAGAAGTGCTTTAATTAATACAGTTTTGTGTAATTATTTCGGGTCTGAGAAGCCAGGAACGAACAAGCGGCCTCCGCCTACAGATTGGGCTGTGGTTGTGCTTTTGAGTGATTTCTTTTTCTTTTTAAATTATATTTTGTTTTGTGTATGTTTATGTATGTGGGCATACATGTGCCACAGCATGTGTGTAGAGGTCAGAGGACAGCTCCTGGGAGTTGATCTCAGGTCATCATCTGGAGTTCCTCTTACCTAGGTATTTTCCTCGTTCACTCTTTATTTATTTATTTTTTTGATGAAGTTTCTCTGTGTAGACCTGGCTGTCCTAGAACTTACTATATAGACCTGACTGGCCTTGAACTCACAGAGATCTGCCTGCCTCTGCCTCCCAAGTGTTGGGATTAAAAGCATGCACCACCACCACCCAGCTTTATTTAGGGTTTTTCTGAGACATGCTTTCACTGTGTACCCCTGGCTGTCCTGGAACTATGTAGACCAGGCTGGCCTCAAACTCACAGAGATCCACTTGGCTCTGCCTCCCAAGCGCTGGGATTAAAGGTGTGTGTCACCACCGCCCTAGCCCTAGGTATTTAACTGGTTAGCTGAGGTGGGAACCCACCCTGAATGTAAGTGGGTCACACACTGAACCGAAAGAAGAGGGCGAGTGAGCTGGGTACCAGCCTGGTGCACTCCAGGCTCTCTGCTCCTGATTATAAACGTGATAAGACAAATTCCCTCCAGCTCCTGCTGCTGTGACTTCCCTGAAATGACGGCTTGTAACCTGGAATTGTGACCTAGAATAAATCCTTTCTTCCCCCCTAAATTGCTTTTGTCGTGGTATTTTATCAGTGCAACAGAAATGACACCAGGCCAGGGCTCTAAGACTTGCCTCTCTGAATCTGTTTGCATCTAAAATACTTTAAATACTAAAAACTTTACAAGGTGGCATACACAATTTAGCCCAGGCTTGGAGGACAGCTAGGGTTTGGTTGGGTTTTCTCTCAGTCTTCCAGGAAAAGCCAGGCATGGCCCCACTTCCAAATCCTGCAAATCAACCTCCATGTCACATAGGAAAGGCAACTGAAAGCAGCTGCACACCTACTGGGTGCCGGGTCAGTTTTTTCCACAGCCAGAATTGTGCTGTTCTAGCTAAAACCAAATCCTTGACACTGGCTAAAAACATATTAAGCTGTCTTCAATGAAAGCAGAATGCATCTAAAGAGGCTGAGAGCATGACTCAGAGGTAGAATACCTGCCTGGAATCCAGTGAGGGCCTGGGACGAGAGAGAGAGAGAGAGAGGAGAGAGAGAGAGAGAGAGAGAGAGAGAGAGAGAGAGAGAACATGAAACTTAATGTTTTGCACTGCACCAGAATGGTGAGTCACTCAGGCCCCTTGTGACTCATGGCCTCTGTCAGACTGTGCACTCTTAGAGACCTCAATTCATCAAGGAAATGACACATGTTTGTGTCTCCAGAAGACCAGTCGCTCTGTCCTCAGTTCCCAAGAAGAGGATGCAGGAAATACTGAATACCTCAGGTAGCCATTCGGAAGTCTGCTCTACATGACTTTGGTGGAATTCTGCCCTCGGCCTCGGGTCCGATGAGGCAAAGGGAACCCTGCGCAGTCCTGTCCTCTTCTCCAGCTTTCCAATCTGGGTGACTTTCTCGAAGAATGTTTTTCCTTTCTCATAGCAGGACATGAACTTAGAGACAGCCTTACCAGGCAATCGCCCTGCTACCAAGCTATACTTCCAGCTCCCCACAACCCCCCAACACTTTAAAACTTTTCCTTTTTGATTTTCAATTTTTTTGTTGTTAATTTTATACTACATTCCTTTATGGAGGAGAGAGGAGATGCTCACCGAGTGCCAGCGTCAGTTCTCGCCTACCAGGTCGGCTTTGGGACTCAAACTCAGGCCTCTATGAGGTTTCTCGCTACCCTGTAGCAACGTTTTAATTTAGCTAGAGTATCACCAGGCCGCCCAGGCTGACTCTGCCTGGAGCTTGCTCGGTAGCCCAGGCAGACCTTAAACTTAAGCCTCAGCTCTGCGTCACACCTGACTCTTCTGAGAAATCCCTGAAAGTAACAGAAGGCTCCTTAGACATCAATCCAGAACCAAAGATCACTGGTTTCAATCTGCCCAACACCCAGGACTCTTGTCTCAAAGAGTGAAACCCAGAGACCACAGCAACCCTAACAATATTTCTAAGGTCCAACTGATAGGGCCACCCTGGCCCCAAGTCAGCTCTTACCAGTCCTCCAGTGAACACTGGAGACCCAAAGACGTGGAACGTACATTATGAACTGAGTTTTTCCACCCAGCCAGTCAGCTGACAGATCAGCTCGTCCCTGAAGAGCTCAGCTGAAAATCTAGCGTGACCTCCTAGGCTTCCACAGCTGAGCCATCGTAGGTCAGATAAGCAAGTATCAACCCAGTCAGACACAGGCAGGAGGAAGGCTGAGAACCAGAGATAACAGACACAGGGCATCAGCCAGGCCGGCCTGGTTGTGGACGCTCATGTTCCGTCAACCTCAATATACAGTTGAGAGATCGGTGGGGAAGTGCTGGGCCCTCTGAGAATGCATGCTGAAAAAAGTCCACCTCGACTTATGATGATTTGTTTTATATTTTTCTCCCTTTCCTTCCATTCTTTTTCTTTTTATCCTTTCTTTTCTTTCTTTCTGAGACAGGGTTTCAAGGCGGGCCTAAAATTCACTATCTAACGAAAGAACTATCATTTTTAATGTTTTTAAGTTTTATTATCTGTATTTTATTTTATGTGTATAGGCATTTTGTCTGCACGTGTATCTTCGAACCACCTGTACAGCTTGGTACCTGTGAGGCAAGAAGAGGGCATCAGACCCCCTGGAACTGAGCTGCCATGTGGTTGCTGGGAATTGAATCCAGGTCCTCTGGAAGAGCAGCCAGTGCTCTTAACCCTGAGCCATCCTTGCAGCCCTGACCTTGAACTCTTGATCTTCATTCCTTCACCTTTCAAACACTGCCATTTCAGGAATACCATTTTTGGTACATGTAGTTTTGGGGATGGAACCCAGGGCTTTGTGTATACTAGGCAAACACTCTACCAGCTGAACTACACCCCAATGCTCGCTTGCTCTCTCTCTCTCTCTCTCTTCTTGGTGACAGGGTCTCACTATACAGCTCAGGCTAGCTAGTTCCTGATCCTCTGCCTCTGTCTTCCAAGTGCTAGAAGATGACAGACATTATAAGAGCCATCGTCGTTTGCTATCCTGCCTGCTATTGGGGGAGACCCACCAATACTAGTAAATCTGCTCATACCAGTTCATAAATTGCCAAAATAGTTACAGCAATGCTGGGCAAGGTAGCACATGCCTGTGATTTCAGCACTCTAGACACCAAGGCAGGAGAATCAAGAGTTCACATTTATTTTGGCGACAGAGAGAACTGGAAATCAGGTAGGGCTACAAAAGTCCTTGATTCAAAAATCAAAACAAAAATTAGCAAGTAAATAGCTCAGCAGATAAGGGCACCGATGACCTGAATTCTGTTCCCAGAACCCACATGGTGGAAGAAAACTCATACACACATGCGCACACACACAGAAAATGTAATAAATTTTTAAAAGTAACATCAGCAAAAATGTATTAAACACTGGATACTAAGGTGGGTTTGTGACTCAGTTGGTAGTGTTCTTGTCTAGTATACACAGAGCACTAGCTTTGCTCCCCATGGCCTTACAAAACTGAGTATGGGCCGGACAGTGGTGGTGCACGCCTTTAATCCCAGCACTCGGGAGGCAGAGGCAGGCGGATCTCTGTTGAGTTCCAGGCCAGCCTGGTCTACAAAAGCTAGTTCCAGGACAGGCTCCAAAAGCTACAGAGAAACCCTGTCTCAAAAAATAAAAACAAAACAACAAACAAAACCAAAAACAAACAGAAAAAAAATGAGTATGGGGTACACACTTGTCACTCCAGCACTCAGGGTGTGCATGCAGGAGAATTAGAAGTTCAAGGTCATTCTCAGCTATATACTGAGTTTGAGGCCAGCCTGGGCTATAGGAGACCCTGTCTCAAAAATACACAATACACACAATATTAGACTGCCAAGCTACCTGCCCACATTTGAACTTCAAACAAAGGTCACATCCTTGGAGTACCTATCTCAGACCCGTGTGGCATGAGGTCCCTGTTAATGGACCTGAGACGCCTGTCTTCAGTGAACTCTAGAAAGAGGGACTGTGCCAGGCATTTGTCCCGCTGTCCCCACACCCAGACCCAGATCTAGCACGGTGACCGCACATGGTATTGCTGCAGTCATAGCTCAGCTCCTACTCTGAAACAGATCAGAAGAATCAGTTAGATGAGCCCCAGAGGCTAGCCTGCCCTCAGAGGGGAAACAGTTCTAGGGCTAATCGTCAGGTCTGCACAACAAAACCATAAGCCCAGTAATTAGTCTCACTGATTGCAGAAGAGGCCAAAGTTCAGAAGGTCACACGGCTAGCAAGAGGCAGAGCCAGGATTTGAACTTAAACTGTACAGTGAGTTGTCTGGTCTTCAAGAGATACTAGGTCTTTTCTGTTGTGGCTGACTTGTTTAATTTTATTTATTAATTTTATTAATTGTTTTATTAATTTTATTTTACATGTATGAGTTTTGGCCTGCATGCACGTAAGTACACTATGTGTGTCCAGTAGGTGCTTGAAGAGGAGAGGAAACTGAATTCCCTAGAACTGGAGTTACACATTGCTCTTAGCCACCATGAAGGCCCTGGGAACTTATCCCAGGTTCTCTGCAAGAGCAGCAAGGGTTCTTTTTTGTTTTTGTTGTTTGAGGGTTTTTTTGTTTGTTTGTTTGTTTTTTGAGACAGGGCTTCTCTCTGTAACAGTTCTGGAACTCCCTCTGTAGACCAGGCTAGCCTCGAACTCATAGCGATCAGCTTGCCTCGGACTCATGAGTGCTAGGATTAAAGGTCTGAATCATATCGTTCAGTTTAGCAAGTATTTTTAACCAACTCTCCAAACCCCTAGTTTTTGTTCCTTTGTTTTGCTTTTGAGACAGCGTTTCATTACATAGCAATTACACTGGCCTTGAATTTCTGGTGATTTTCCTGCCTCAGCCTCCTGTGTGCTGGGATGACTGGCATGCATCGTCACACTCAGATTCTTTACTTTTTTGGAAAAAAGTGAGTCAACAGGAGCATGGGTAAGGGTTTACTTCAGGAGTGGGGACATTACCCGTGGTCACATCACTGAAGAGAATGTCTCTCCCTCCCTCAGCAACCATAATCTGCCTATAGATTCTCAGGAAAAGGTAATGAGCTTCATGAGTCCCGCACCCATAATGACGGAGATTGAACCCAGAACATCAAACATGTTAAGTAAGTCACTGAGCTACACTGCAGCATCTTTTCTCCAACTAGAGACTCACAGACTCACTCTCTGGCCCTGTGCCTGGCTGCACTCACTTGCAGCAGCCCTGCACACTCTCCTGCGTGCCTGCACAGAATGTAGCCATGTGCCACCGTGCCCATCTTCCAGGGCTTTCTTTGAATTTTTTTTTTTTAAATTTTATCTTAAAGACTGGTGAGATGGCTCCTTGGGTAAAGGGCTTGCCACCGCCAAGCCTGAGGAGCTGGGTTTAATCCCCGGAACCCACACGGTAGGAGAAGAAAAAAAGTTGACTCCCAAAAGGTGTCTTGTGATCTCTACATGAGCCGTGGCAGGTGAGGGCTCGCAAACTCATATATAAACAAAACAAATAAATGAACAAATATTTTAAAGTATCGTGGGGCTTGTGAGATGCGTCTGCAGTTGAAAGCACTTGCTGCCCTCGCAGAGGACAAGTTTGGTTTTGGTTCCCAGTACCTACAAGGTGGCTCACAACTGCCTGTAATTCCAGTTCCAGGGGATCCAACACCCTCTTCTGGCCTCTGAGGGCTCTTACATAATAGACATAAATTCATACAGGAACATATACATAAATTTACAAAATGGCTAGGCATTGTGGCACATACAATTAGTCCCAGCACTTCGGACGCATAGGCAGTTGAATTTCTATTAATTCATAGTTAGCCTAGTCTCCATGTAGAGTTCCAGGACAAGGCTACATAGTAAATCCTTGTCTCAAAAATAAGATAAAATAAAAATTAAAAATAAGTTTTTTCAAAAAAAGCACTAAACAAAACCAGGGTTGTACTAAGAAACTCAGTCAGGCCTTGAACTCTTCCTGCCTCAGCCTCCAAAGTTCCTGAGAAAACTGACTTGTGCCACCATGGGCCATATGACCTAGGCACTTTATCCTGGCTCTGTCACTGATGCTGTATGTCCTGATTCAAGTTAATTTGTTTTTCTGGGCCCATCTGTCTCTTTTTTTATTTTGGTGTGTGTGTGTGTGTGTGTGTGTGTGTCAGTACTGAGGATTGAACCCAGGGCCGAGTACATGTTAGGAAAGTACTGAACTACATCCCCAGTCCAGAAACTAAATTTTAATCCCAGAAGCACTGCATCTTGTTTGCTGTATGGCCTGGGGCAACAGCCTTAACTTCACTGAGCCTCAATTTGCTCATTTGGACGAGAGGAATTATTTTTAGTATTTTCACCCAGTATGTTTCCCACTAACCACATAAACTCTGACTACAGAGTTTTTAAAAACTGTCTTCGATTCTATTTATTTTGTGTGTGTGTTTGTGCACACGCATGCGGGTGTACTCATGCAAGGATGGGCCTATGGAGTTCAAACAACAACTTTCTGAAATCAGTTTTTTCTTTGACCATGAGACCTCGAGGCAGAACTCGGGCAAGCACCTTGACCAGCTGAGCCATCTTGGCAGTCCCTGACTAGCGTTTGAAAAACAACATTTTCAGTACAGTGCACTCTGAGTTGCTTTTTGTGAAGCGCCCAACTCTTTATCATGTTAATTATTACCCAGCCAGAATCCTTATGAAGAGGGTTACAGAGTGACATTAGCCACTTATTGACCACCTACTGTATGCCAAGCGCTTTCATCATCCATCTCCTAAATCAGCTTGGTTCTGGGATGACCCACTTTTCACAGATGGGAAAACCGAGGCTCACGGAGGTTCTTACTGCGTGCCGAGACACCGAGATCTCTCACCAACCTCGTCATGAAAACTGAGGTGCCTGCGTCCTGAGCAGGACTGAGGCCAAGAGTACAGACCGAGCTGTCCCACCCGAGTACTGAGGCGGGGCCTCGAACCCGGGATCAGTGGACCCGCCTGCGCACTCGGGCCTGACCCGCTGTTCCGTGCCTACCTGATTCGCGGCCGGGCCGGGCGACCGCGCAGGCCCCTCGGTTCTCCCTGGCCCGGGTCCCGGCCCGGCCCGGCCAGTCAGCAGCTGCTTGCTCCGCTCCGGCCGGCACCTGCGTCCGGACACCGCCCGCCGAGCGGACAGCACGGCGAACCAATAGAGACCGCCTCTCAGCCACATCTGCCAGTCAGAGTTCACGTCCCGCCCAGGAGGTGGGGCCTGTAGCAACGGGGACGTCCTGGGCGGTCCAGGCCCAGCGGCGCCGCAGCTTCTGGCTCCGCCTCTGCCGCGTTCTGGCTCCGCCCCCAGAAGGGGGTCCCGCCTCATCCCGGCTCCTCCCCGTCACAAGCCGGGGCTGTAGATTTGCTGCCTGCGCCTGCTGCAGAACAAAGGCGCGCTTAAGTAAACAACGCCGCGACAGAACTGAACTTGACTGTTGCCAAGTGACTGCTTTACGCTTTTTTTTTCAGTCTCTTTTGAAGACTTGTGTGACTCGGGCTAGTCTCGAACTCATTTTGTAGCGGAGGATGACCTTGAGCCTCTCTGATCCTTTGTCCTCCACCTTTCCAGAGCTATGGAGTGCTAGAATTGAATCAAGGGTTTTGTGTTTACTGGACATTCATCCTGATCACACTTACCAATCCTAGGGTAAGGGGAGACGGTATGATCACAGAACCAGCCCAGAAGGATTAGGGTGTTGTGGAGGAGACTAAAGACCACATCTTTAGTCACTAATTCATGCAAGAGATACATTAAGAAAAAAAAAAAAAAGAAGCAAGAAGCCAGGCAGCGTTAGCGCATGCCTTTAATCCCAGCACTCGGGGAGGCAAAGATAGGGGGATCTGCAAGTTCGAGGCCAGCCTGGTCTACAGAGGGTGTCCCAGGACAGCCAAGGTGCTTACAAAGAGAAGCCTTGTCTCAAAAAACAAAAAAAAAAAAAAAAAAGGAAAGAAAGATGGCAGAAAAAGCTGTGGAGATGGCTCCCTGCGCAAGAGCTCTTGCCTAGCAAACATGAGGATCTGTTAGAATTCAAGTTCCCAGTATCCACATAAAAGAGATGAATGGGCCCCGCAGTGGTGGCTCCCACCTTTAATCTCAGTATGCAGAAAACAGAGGCAGACAGATCTCTGTAAATTCAAGGCAAGTTTAGTCTAAGAGAGCTAGTTCCATTCCAGGACAGGCACCAAAGCCACACAGGGAAACTGTGTCTCAAAACAAACAAACAAACAGGAAGGAAGGAAGGAAGGAAGGAAATGAACGAGGTCTAGAACTCCTGTAACCCCAGTGATATGGGTGGTGTAGACATGAGAGTGACTGGGGCTTTACTGACTGTCGCTTTAGTACTAGTTCCACTAAAAGACCCTGCCTTAAGAGAATAAGGTGAGAAGAGAGATACCCATGCATACAACCTTTTTGTTGTTGTTGTTTTTCGAGACAGGGTTTCTCTGTGTTGCTTTGGAGCCTGTCTGAAACTAGCTCTTGTAGGCTGATCTTGAACTCACAGAGATCCGCCAGTGCTGCGATTAATGGCATGCGCCACTACCCAGCAACACACTTGTTTGTTCTGCTCGAACACACAGTGACACACTCAGACACACATACACAAGCAAATAAAACTACGACACTTAGTAGAACTTGCCTAGCATACACAAAGTCCTGAATTTGAACCATGTGGTGGTGGTGGCACACACCTTTAATCCCAGTACTTGGGAGGCAGAAACAGGCAGACCTCTCTGAGTTTGAAGCCAGCCTGGTCTACAGAGCAAGTTTTAGGACAGCCCACAGAGAAACCCTGTCTCGGAAAATAAATAAATAAATAAATAAATAAATAAATAAATAAATAAAGCCCTAAAATTGATCCCCAGCACCATATAATCTGGATTATGACGGTACGTGCCTATAATATCAGCACTCAGGAGGTTCAAGGTCACCTGTTAACTACATAGGAAATTTGAGGTCAACCTGGACTACAAGAGACCATATCAAGAGAAACAATTTTGATTGAGAGATCAAAATTCAGAAGGTAGCATTATTTTGGTCCAGGCACCGCTCAAGAGCCTAGGGATCTATTAACTAATATGAATATTATAAGACAAGCATTAGCAATTCTTTGAATCATTTTTTGTTGGTTAGAAACAGGGTCTTGCTATGTAGTCCAGGGGCGGCTGCCTTACCCTGGCAAGTGTGAGATTACAGGCAGGTGCTCCCATACCCCCACTTTATCATTATTTATTACTATTACAGGACTTTAGATAGACCTCTGTTTTGCTGAGAAGGTGCTCAGCTACTCTCCCAAGTTCTGTTTTGTTGCTGTTTTTGTTTGGTTTGATTTTTGATACAGGCTCTCAAGAAGCCCTGAACTGAACTGGCTATGCAGCCAAGGACCTTGAACTCCTGTTTCCCAGTGTGAGCACGGCTGGCAGGAGTCACCAGGCCTGGCTTTAGTAACTTTTCTTGAGTATGAATGCTGTCAGAAACAATGTGGAGGCACTTCCGTTCAGTTTCAGCAACAATGGTAAAAAGGAGTTTAAAATGCCGGTTGTGTGTGGTGGAGCAGCTTTTACTGCCAGCACTTGAGGCAGAGGCAGGCGGATCTCTGTGAGTTCGAGGCCAGCCTGGTCTACAAGAGCTAGTTCCAGGACAGGCTCCAAAGCTACAGGGAAACCTTGTCTCAAAAACCAAAAAAAAAAAAGAAAGAAAAGCAAAGAAAAGAAAGAAAAGAAAAGAAAAACAAATCTAGAAATTGTAAAAGAGGGTATTTCACTCACTTCACTCACCCACGCCTCATAACAACCATAACAACAGTGATTGCAGAGGACACTGGAAAGGACATCTGCTGAACAACGCTTGCTCAGCCTTTGACACCACTCTGGCCATTATTCACTGTCTCCAAGGATAACTGATTCAAGGTAATTATGTAATCCTTCCCGTTCTGCCTCACTACGGTCCCCTTGCCTCTACCTCTCTGAATATACACTTGGTCTACCACGATACACACATTGCCCTCGTGGGGCTGTACATTAGCTTCTTTATTCTTGTTTTGTTGTTTCATTTGCTTTTTCTGAGACAGAATCTCATGTCTCCCAGGCTGGGATGACAGGTGTGCATCATATCACCGGTTCTGCTGATGGAGATGGAGCCTCAGGCTTTATGCATGCTAGGTGAGTACTCTAACCCACTGAGCTACAGCCCCAGCCCTGCTTTGGGTTTTTTGAGACTGGCTCTTGCTATGTAATCTAGGCTGCTCTTGAGTTATGGTAATTCTCTTGCCTCAGCCTCCTACACACTAATGCAGTTAGGTGCTATCAGGCTCAGCCATTTCCTAAATATTAGAATACTTTTCCATATAATCAGCAAACAACCTTCAAGATCAGAAAATTGACGTTAACCTTGTACTATCATATAATTCCCAAAACCCTTTCAAAGTTTGGATGATATCTTTTAAAGGTAGGGGTAGGTGATAAAGTTCAAGGTGTAGAATCCCCCAGTGAGGGGCTATGGGAATGGTATCCAATGTCAGTGTCCCATCACTTGGAAAGTTGAGGCAGAGAATCAGGAGTTCAAAGTCATCCTCACCCATAGATCAGGTTCAAGTTCAACCTAGACTACAGACCCTGTCTTTAAAAATATTTTCCTTTTGTATTTTGGCCAATTTTGAGGTCTAATTTCTCTTCACCATGAGTATAGCCCCTTACAGAAATCTGTGAGAAAAGCCTAGATCAAATGTAAGTTTAGCTGTGATATGGGTGCAGGGGTCTTTTTCTGGGACGCAGAAGATCTGAGCCAAAAGCTAGATGCCTTGTTTCATTGTCTCTGCTCTGTGACAGAGACAATTTTAATTTTTTAAGATTATTTTTATATGAGAGTTTTGCCTGTGTATATGCATGGACGCCATGTGCGTGCAGTGATGTAGAATCCAGAAGACATTAGATTCCCTGAAGCTAGGGTTAGAAACGTTGTGAGAGCTACCCTTTGGGTTCTGGGAATCTAACCTGAGTCCTGTACAAGAGCAGAAAGTGCTCTTAACTCCAGCCCCACAAAGACATTATTTTTAATTTAGGGCTGGAAGAAAACATGGTCTTAGAGACTCACATCCTTTCTTTATTTATAAATTTATAAATTACACTTATTTATCAATTGTGTGTGTGTGTGTGTGCGCGCGCAAGAGGAAGAAAGGCAAGGACCAGCCCAATTCTCCAAAAAAGCAGCAGGAAAGAGACTATATCTTTTTATATATGTATATAATGCCAGCTTTGTATATCTTTTTTTGAATGCTTAGCTTCAAGCTCCCATTCCCTCAAGTTCATTAAATATATTCATTTTGGGGCCATGCATGGTGATGCATGCTCTTAATCCCACCAATGGGGAGACAGAGGCAGACTGCTTTCTGCAAAGCCAAAGCCAGCCAAGGCCAGCTCGGTCTACAGGGAGCTCCAGGTCAGCTAGGACTAAGGGGGGGGGGAGAGACAAAGACAGAGACAGAGACATACAAAACAAATCATACTAATTTTGCAAAGAAAAGATGAGGAAATGAGGATGTAGCTCAGGTGATAAGAGTGCTTGCCTAGCACATGCCAAGCCTTGGGGGTCTACCTTTTGCACTATATGTATGAACTGGGCATTATGGTGTACACAGGTATTCCTAACATTTGGGAGATAGATGCAGGAAGATAAAAACCTCAAGGTCATCCTTGACTACACAATAAAGGTCAGTCTGAGCTACATGAGACCCTGTCTCAAACAAAGGAAAAAATAAAGAAAAGAAAAAAGTGATGACCCTGTGTCCATCCCTAGCATCACATAAACTGGATGTGGTGGAACGTGGCTGTCACCCAGGCACTCCAGAAGTAGAGGGAGGAGGCCTGTGAGTTCAAGGCCATCCTGGCTTAGTGAGCTGAAGAGCACAGTGCCTCTCTGTATCAAGTATTGTGAATCCACAGTCCTGCTAGGATAGCTCCTAGAAGTGTTCTGATTCCCTCTTGCCTACTTACTGGCCCGGCAAGGTGTTTCAGGATGATTTGTACACCCTGCCTCTGGCAAATACTATTTAGAAATCAAAATGGAAGTGGGGGTTTGGAGAGATGGCTCGGCAGGTAAGAGCACTGGCTGCTCTTCCAGAGGACTCAAGTTGGATTCCCAGCATCCAC